CACATATCAATCAATGAATGTCTCTCCTGGCAGCCCGGCAGCCATGCAGATGGCGCGTGCTAACACGTAAGGTGCCCATTCACTGATGCGAAGGCCTCCTCGTGGTCGGAAGATCACCTTGAAGTCATCCACAGGTAGGGGTGGCGGCCGCGAGGTCACTTGATTTTTGGCAGGCAAGGGCACGGGTGTGGAATTCACTGTGGTCTTTGACTTGCGTCGGCGGGTAGCAGTGAACCAAGAACCATCGTCCGGATCCACTGGATATTCGTTGGTGTCTGGAGCATTCATTTCTGCTGATTTGATGGTAGAAACCGGAGAAGCCATGCCTAAGCAGTGTAGATCAGTCACACACCGAATGTCACTCAAGTGACCGAAGTTGCAAATTGACCGAAGTGACCAAAGTGTGCAAATTGTCACTGCTATGTAATGCCAGTGTTTCATACCAGGTACATCAAACTCTGTGTACGCGTGTTGCGTACTTGTTGAACAAGCATAACATTTGTATGTTCGTTCTTACATTTCCCAACGTACCCACTGAACACCGTAAAATTCACAGTGCGCATTGGCGACCATGAATGACCAAAACGTGCCTGCAGCCAACTTGCGGTCGTCGCAGAACCTGCGAAGTTCAGCCTAGACATAGTCTAGACGCATGGCGACCGTCTGCGCCCTCCTCCCTGTATCCTGCTTCCGCTGCTCGACGGGAGTATTCTTGAAACGGCGTTACAATAAAAACAGCGCTAGTTCCGTGAAAGGAAAGGCAACCCCTCTAATAGAGTTGATCCTGTGAGTGTAGAACGCGGCATCCTTCTGACATCGTTTATTGATCGAGATGTCTTTTTTTTTCCTTTGCCAGTGCCCTCTATACTTTTAAGCCTGCAAACTTCGAAGTACGGTAAGTTTTCAGCACTTGCAGAGGCATCGCAATTCTAAGTGCTCTAATATGGGCGGCACAAATCTACAACAAAAAGCCCATTTGAGAATATATACGCTCATGGACGTTTCTTCTCGTACGCCTTGGCCCGACATTCCCAAATGAGTGCGAAGTTATGTAAAAGCACAAACCCATTTTTATTTTCTCGCCACATGCAAGCTTCGCCAGCAGCGCGCCAGCCTTTCCGGATGGATTGATATGGTTGTACCCTTTAGATCGGGCGGTGGCTAATGCCACCAAGCCATAATACTCGGTGAACCAAAAACTGGATTTATTTTTTTTCCCCTTTAAATAGTGAGGTTGAGGACTCATACTTTACAATGCAGGGTTTAATTTTCACTCGTGCCTTGACTTTAGCCGCTAATCAAATAACCTCTTTCTAGTTAATTCTACCCACTTAAAGTCTATTTTGCCCTCCCTGTCCCTAAACCCCAGTGCTTTTAAAAAATCTGCGCCATCGTCCTGAACTATAGGGTGAAGCCCTTTACAGAGCATTATCAAGTGTTCGACAGTTTCCTCCTCCTCTCCACACGCACTGCGTACCGTGTCTACCCATTCGTATTTGGCCCAAAATGTCTTGGTTCACAATACTCCCATTTTCGCCTCAAACAGTAGAGAACTACCCCGAGTATTATGATAGATCATTTCCTTCGCGATTTGCGGCTTAAAAGTTCCATAGATCTCTAGTAAGGACTTCTTGATCATGCCAATTCTCCACATATCAGTCTCAGCTTCCTTCATCTTCTTGTTAACCGATAATTCTTTTTGGTTTGGCCCCTTGCTGTTTCCTAAGTACTTACCAGTCAATTTTTCTGGTTCGCTTTCTCCATTTTGTATAGACATTCTTCATGTACAAGTAGCTCAATACCTTCCTAGCCCAACGCTCCTCCCCCATTTTTCTCAATCGCTTCTCAAATTTTATCTTGCTGCTAGCTTCCCTGCCCTCAAATGATGTCCATCCCATATCACCTTGTACTCCCTGATTTGGTGTATTCTCGTGAGCTCCTAAGGCAAGCCTACCTATTCCACGTTGCTTAATTTCTAATCTTGCTTGAACTTCTGAACTCATGCACAAGACCGCATTGCCGAACGTCAGACCAGGAACCATGACCCCTTATTATATTCCTCTCACATCATACCTATTGTAATTCCACAGTGCCCCGTTTTTCATCACTGCTGCATTTCTGTTACCTTTAGTCGTCATGTATATTTCGCGTTCCCTTAGGTACTCGGTCCCATTGCTTATCCATACGCCCAGATATTTTTATTTATCTGTTATCTCTAGCATGACCTCCTGTATTCTAAGCTCACTGCCTCCATTATCATTAAAAATCATGACTGCTGATTTTTCCTTACTGAATCTGTAATCTAATCTATCTCCTTCATTACCGCAGATGTCCATCAATCTCTGCAAATCTTCCTTGTTGTCCGCCATTAGCACTATGTCATCTGCGTACATTAATGCTGGTAGTGCTTGATTAATGAGTTTTCCTTGTCTGACGAAATGGAGGTTAAAGCCAAGTCCACTTCCCTCTAATTTGGCCTCTAATCCTTGTAGGTACATCATGAATAATAAGGGTGACAGGAGACACCCCTGCCTAAGCCCCTGTTTTACCTCTGCAGGCTTGGATACCTGTTTTTCCCACTTTATAACTACCTTGTTACTTTTATAGATTTCCTTTAAAAGATTAGTGACTCCATCTTGCACACCCAGTGTGTCTAGTACTCCCCACAAGTCCTCTTGAACCACGCTATCGTACGCTCCCTTGATATCCAAAAATGATAGCCACAGGGGCCCGAGTTCCATTTCTGCTATTTCGATGCACTGCGTCAGTGAAAACAGATTCTCTTCCAACCTCCTGTGTTTCCGAAACCCGTTCTGCAGTTCCCCCAGCACCCTTTCATCCTCTATCCATGCCTGCAGTCTTTCCTTTATAATCTGCATCGCCAGCCTGTAGACCACTGATGTCACTGTTATAGGACGGTAGTTGTTTATGTCAGCTATGTCCCCCTTTCATTTATAGATCATGCTCATCCTGCTAAGTTTCCACCCATCGGGAACTTCACCATCGATTATTAGATTGCTCACTGCCTCTCTCAAAGCCTGCGTAGACTTCGGACCTAATGTCTTAATCAGCATAATTGGAATGCCATCTGGGCATGTTGATGTACTACTAGGAACCCTTTTCTCAGCCCTTTCCCACTCTCGTTGTGAAAATTGAGCCATTGCACCACTTGATTCATCCTTGTCTATTATTGTGCGTAAAGCACTTCTTTGTTGAAATTTTGTCACCTTTGTTCTTATATATTCAATAGCTTCGTCCCCTTCTAGCCTAGCACCTTGGGCCGTAATTATAAACCTCTGCTCTAGGCTCGTCTCATTTCTTAGAGAGTTTAGATGGTTCCAAAATTTCGCAGCTGCCTTTCTATCTTCTTATGTACTTCTGCCAGCCACTGAGCTCCCTTTCTTCTAATCTTTTCATTGATCAGAAGGGATGCTTCTCTTCCCCTGCTTAGAAAGACTTCCCATTTACTTTCATCATCATCTGGGTTTGTGTGTTCTTTTCCGGGGTGATTTGTCACGTGCCTTAGCAAGCTCTAGCTCACTCCAATTACATTCGTGTATGTACACACTGTTTTATTATCCTCAGTGATTACTTTCTCAATTTGTTTAGTAGCTATTACTATTTGCCTTTCTGAATAAAAATTTCCCTGTAGTTGCCCATCGCGTCTCCTTCCCACTTTCACTATTCTTCCAAAACTTAGCTTGATACATTTGTAATCACTACCCAGACTTCTGGAGCCAGCATTCATCTATGTGCATTCCCCTGAGCCTATCATACATCTATGTGACATCAGTGCATATTCTATCGTCGACTACAGCCTTCCTATCTCCCATGTTATTTGCCTTTCACACTTCTCAGTACTGTTGCAAATGATCAAATCATGCCTTTCACACATATCCATGATTATTTTGCCTGTTGGGTCGGTGTACCCATCTATATATGTGCACATTCATATCTCCTAGTATAATTATCTCGCACTCTCCTCCTACTTCCTTAATGTCCTTTGATATACACTCTACCACTGCCTGGTTTTCCTCTCTGGCCTTTGCTCCCGTCCTCAAGTACACCAAACCAAGGAGTGTCATTTGCCCTGCCACTTTCCCGTTTAGCCATAAATGTTCCTTGCACTCCTGCTTGACCCTTTGCCAGTCTGTTCTTTTATGAATGAATGCCCCAATATCACCCTCCTTGCTGCTGCCTTCTTTTCTATTACAATATTCCCACGCGTAGTCCGGATTGTTAGGAGGTTGTTCCATGTCCCTAAGATGTGCTTCTACAAAACCGTATACCATCGGCGTCTCCTCCCTTAGCTGTCCGTCTGTCTCTTAGCTGTCCTCTATCTTCGACTATACCAGCAGCGCCGCGGTGCAGAGAAAAGAGCAGGCCACGCCCACCTCTGGAAACACGCTCTCTCCGTGCGATTGGAACGGCTGGAGAGAAACCCACCACGCGCCCGCCATCTCGGAGGCCATGGGTTGCAAGATCCCTAAACTGCAGATGGTCACTCAACCTCAATTTCTCGCTCATTTTTACGCAACTGAAAAAATTTGTGGCTGGTCAGCTGCATTCGTTGGAACATTTCATTGTATGTTGTGTTCCCAGGAAAAGCAGCAACATAGCTTTCGCGGATATATCACGTCCCGCTAACTTTCGCTCAAGTGCGACCAACATAAATTTCAGCCAGGGCTAGTGGAACAAAATTTTTTTTTCCCCTTGGATAGTACATGTCAAAACTTCGATTTAAATGTTACCCAGGTCTTACACTGTGACAGCAATTATGCGAATGTGAACACTCCCAGCGCGTAGAAAGTCCGAACGGACAAATTCACTTCCGTGCATCGTACTGTTTCTCAGTGCAACTGAAAGCCTGCGAGGGCCATCGAGGGTACCGGCAGCGACTGTGTACTTTAAAAAAGATACGGACACGAAAACTTTGGCTTCGCGTTTTCCTGGTGAGATGTTTCACAAAACAAGCCCAAAAGAAGCAGACACACAACAAATTTCTCCATTCTTGAAAATGGCCTATTAGTCATAACGCAACACATCATTTGATACAGCATGCAACAGATAATTAGTGATAGGCCCCTCATTATCGACCAGTTTCAGTTCGAGCTCCAAAAACGATAAGCCGTCGAGTGCAACTATCGCCACCTAGCGTGTGCAGCTCTTGACCACAGAACACACAACCGCGACACGCTTTCTCGCACAGGTCCGCATCAAGAATTATTCTCGAATAGGAAACGGGGCTACAGTGTGCTAAACACAAAACTTTCAAAGCATGAGCCATGGCCTATTCAGTTCAATTTCAATGAGGCCTATATGGCTTCGAAGGAGTCCATTGATCTCATTCCACAATCTACACTAGCCAAAAGTTTTGGCCTGGCAAAAACATACATGAAGGCACTAAATGCACCCTTAACACGCAAAAAAATGGCAGCTATGACGTCATCATAATCTTGTTTATACTGACTGCAGCGTGGTGATGTGAGGAAAGTTGGGGATCCCCAACCTTTGAGGGTGTCAATAGCACGGTGGACTAGAGCGCTCACGCAAACTTCAAAATGAAATTTAAAATACCTTCCAAGCTATATTCGCTTTTGATATTTGCAAATGATATATACGCATGTCCACGGGAATCGACCCCGCAGGCTATAACGGCCGCCAAATTTTGTCAGTACACCTTTAACACACCAATCGTCGTCGCGGGCGCCTTTATGAGCAGGCTCACAAGTTTGCACATGCCATGACAGAGGTGAATTCCCTCCTTTCTAGACTGTTGCCCGGGAGTGCAAAAGCCGATGTCACAGTCTCGGCATGCATTTTTGAAGGGTCACGGATGTTACCAGCCCAGGGAGGTACTATGACTGCACCGAAGAAGCATTCAGTAAAAACGAAGGTCGCTTCGCTCGGTGCGGCGTGCATTTCCTTATGCCAGCGTTCTGTCGGATTAGGTCAGATCATGTGCTAAAGGAGTTTGTAACTAGCGTTACTTCTTAAAACATTCCAATTTGTGGCAAATGTATTTCCTGCTTCCCCCTTTTGGCAACTCATAGTGCACTCTGTACACTGCCTTGTGCGTAGTGTAGCAAGTACAACCTTCAGTGCCGTTAAAATCTTGTTGTGCTCGCACGAACAACCACTCACACTCCCAAAATGGACTTACGGCACACATGAAGTTTGAGACAGATTTACTACGATCCCCCCATAATTAGCACAATAAAAGTACACGCGTGCACAAATCCTTCGATTATTAGGGTCAGATTTTTTTTTATTTGCCATGGCACCTCGGTTTACAAGGGGCATTTCAATTACCCTTTAATTTGCGTGCAAATTGAAATATGTCCTATAGAGTATAAAAACTTTCAATTTCAAGTAACTCTTTGTAAACCTAGAGGTAGCCTGCAAAGGAGTTTTAAAGGAGAAACGTCTTTGCAAGGAAAACAAATTTCGATTTCCACCAAAAAGAAATTTACAGGTAGTATTTGCTTTGCAGTTTATGTACAATGGTCCTCCTGGGAGTCATTTGTTTTCCTTACAAAGGCGCACCACGACATCTAAAGAGCATCGAGACGCCGAAAAAAAAATATATATATGCACTGCACACAGTCCAGAAACGCACAGGGCACACCAGCTTGACAGGAAGATAACACATCAAAATAACAAGCACTACGCTTTCTTTGCCCGTGGTTATGAGGCGTAAAACCTTCTGGTAGAGAAAAATAATTTAAGGCATACAGCCAATGACATTAGCTAATTACTGCCTGTCAGCTACTGTACACCCAAAAGAGACAATAGGTGCTCAAAGCAGAAATTTACCACACCTTGGTGAACTTGATCCGAACACTGAGTAAGCAAATATCTTGCATGCACCATGCGAGTGGTCACTGAAGATTCAATTTCAATAAGGCCTAATGGAAGGAGTCCATTAATCTCATTCCACAAGAAATCTGCACTAGCCAAAAGTTTTGGCCCTGGCAAAAACATACATGGAGGCACTAAATGCACCCTTAACAATTATCACCGGCTTCTGAAAAAAAAAACATGTGGCAGCCACTAGTAACAAGCATTTAGCAGCACGCCATGCACAGAGTGCTTCAAGTTCACCAAGCTGTGCCCAAACAATGTACACACATGCAGACAAACACACAACACCCCTGAAACACTAACAGGGAGGGGGGGGGGGGCAACAGAGAGGTTGAAACCACAGCATGTTACACTGGTCTTGTAGTGCACTGTACGTTGCATGCCCACCAGAGCACACTACACAAGGCCCAGTGGGCAGAGGGGGAATACTACCAAAGAACAACACTAAAGACAGCCAGGCTCCACCTCTTGACAACACAATTGCACCCTGGTTTGACGATCCTTCAAGGCGAGAGAGAAACTGATTTTTTTTTTCTTTCTTCACACCGCATGTATCACAAGGCAGCGTTTCGATCCAGTTGAATGTGGACGTTTGGGAAGCTTTAAAAATGCAGCAATCGACAAGACACTGGTCTCTTACTTCCTGTAATTACACTGTTCCGACTGGATGACGCTCTTTCCAGTGAAGATAAACGGGTAATTTGAGCAATTTCACACTCCACACCTAGTGCACACTGCGAGTTATGAAAAATGGTGCCTTAAGAACTTTGCTGGCATTACGAAAGAAAAACAAAAAAAGAGCCACATAATTTTTTTGTATACTTTGAAGATATGATGATCAGCCTGCTACTCTTGTTACTGATCAGCCTTTCCAGTTATAGAACACAGATTCCTGGATACGCCCATTACCTTGAAGACGCGCCATGGATCCAATAGGGCTACCATTGATCCAGAAACAATGAACTCTATGACCATAGTTCTCGAAGGGCTCATGAAAAAATCTAGATGCAACAAGAAATGTGCATGCGGCCAACATTTTGTCTGTGAAACCGCACAGCTATTGCATATTGACGTAAAAGGCCATAACACCCGAAGACAAAAACAGGTAGTAAAAAATTCAGTGCCATATATAATACTAGCTTTAAAGTGGCCATCAAAACTTCTCACAGCACTCAAAACAATGAAGGAGCGATCATTTTTAATCGCCCAGATCACAACACACACAAGGAGAAAAAAATAATAAGGTCAAGGAAAAGCCGTCTGGGTTTTTAGCAAGCTCAAAACAGAGCACAGCTGCAGAAGCAGCAATCGGGTTGTACAATTGTACATTATCTCTGCTCGTCTTGTGAATTATCTTGACGAAGGTCCTCCCGAATTGTGACACAACCATTGTGTGTGTCTTCACATGGCTTTACAATTTGTTATGCATAATTGAGTACAAATCCTACATTTATAAACACGTAATGTTTTGCTCAAGGCATAAAAAAAAAGATGGGGAGGGGTCAGTTCAAGCAAAACAGACTGATGCACACACAATCAAAAGTCAAGGTGAAGATTGCCCCTCAATGCCATGAATTAAAACAAACAAGAATGAGCTAACTCATTCTGGCTACATTGCTGCCACAAAAGAGTGCTTCAATGCAAGACCATGGCAAATATACTAGTATTTACATGGAAAGATGCATGCCAGCTGAAGGCATCGCTCAATCCTAGACGCTTTTTCCCGTAGACTGTTTTGGGAGCTGCTCAGAAAACCCAGATGCTCTCAGCACAACTGCCACTGGAAACACAAAACGGATTGAAGCAGCCACGCCTGGGTGCTTCGGAAAAACTAGTAAACTGCACAGAAGCAAGCAGCCACAGCAGTTCTTCAGCTTAAAACTCCACATGCTCACAGATTGGCACATCATGCTCGTCGGCTGTGTCCGGCAATTCCATTGCCACAATGGCAGCACTGCCTTCTCTTCATCCGTTGTCCACGAATTTTGTGCTCTTCTTTCTCTCTTTTTTTTCTTTCTTCTTTTTCGTCCACCGTCAAGGAAACATCGGCAAGCTTCCTGGAGAACTTAAGGCACCTGGATGAAAAACTGATCTTCAGCTATGCTGTTTTTCTTCTGCAGCTCTTGCTATTGCGCTCAATTCGTCCAGAGGTCCCACTCTTTCCAAAGAAAGTGCTTTGTCACTGCACAGCAGCCTTTGATCGCTATGTTGAACGACGTATATATCAGAAATTCAGCTTTAGCTAAACGATTATTTGCGTTCTTTGCAGGCCTGCTTTTTTTTTTTTCCACACAACTTTGCCTGAGTTTCTTCTAAGTGTGGATGGGTGATAATTACACACGTATATAATTACACACTAGTAGCTTCTCTCTCCTCCCATCTGGAAGATACTGAGGTATTACACCTGACATGAAACCATGATTCTTAAAAGCAATAACAAGCAAAATTCTGCACAGAAAACAAGTGTCAAAATACTTCTGTCCTCAAGCACTAAACTATATGTGCACGACCTACTTCATCCGACTAGTCTTTTCTTCCCCCTATTTTTGCTCATGTTTGCCAAGATCCAGCTTGCACGACGCAAGGATGTTGGGTACATTACACAGCACCTATGCAGAGGACAGGACGCCTGGAGCGACCCCACATGCACTAAGAACACGCAAAGACAGAAAGAAAAAAAAATGGTGGAGCAAAGAAAGCAATTCATCAGTGCTTGGTCCATTTCTCTCCAAGTTAGCACCAGGCATGGTTGACAAAAGTGGAAAAGCAAGAAATAAAAAAAGAAAGAGAGAGAGAAACAGAAGGCAGCAAACCCATCTGAATAAGTACAGCGAGGACAACCATGGACAAGGGGAGAAATAAAGGAAAGGGCAATGTGAACTGCTACAAACACCTCTCTACAGTCTAGCTTGACAAGAGGTGTCTTCACGAGATAAAGGGGAACTGACAATGACCTAGAGCGGTGGCGAAAAACGTTCGATAGGGAGGGCCGTATGCCCCCGGCGATGGTCGGTGGTGGCCACCGCGAGAGGCGAGTTGAACATGCAGAAGCACTAGCAGGGGCGGTGCGCCACTGCCAACCTGCGCCACCTCTCAACGCAGAAGACGGCTGTTCCAAGGCGACGTGGCCCTTCGCCTCCACGCTCACTCTCCCACACACCAGTTGCAAGCACTGCCACTCGTCTGCTTGTTGCCAGCTACGCTTGCTGGAGTTGCGACATCTCCCTTCCCCTCTTATCCTGGTAGCAGCTGCAGCAGCTCTTTCCGCCCTACCCGTGGTGGTCACGGGAGGCTCCGAGCATGGCCATCAGAACTTGAAGCCATCCGCGGGGATGGAAGCATTGGGATCAAACTGGTAGCCCTGGTCAGAGGCCTGCGGCACCACGTGGGGGTCCTCATCCACCTGCAACCAGAGGACGCAACTATTTGCACTTTCGAATTCCTAGACTGCTTTCATGAAAATTTTCTAGAATGCTGTGCACCCTGCCATTTCTGGTGCTAGAGGAAATCTTTCAAACCTTGCAGAGTTACACCAGTCGTTCATTTCAAACTGCTACTAATATTTGTTTGCGTTTTTACAACCCAAAACCTCAATATGGCAATGTAGAGTGCTATACAAAGGCTCCAGAAACTTCGACCCCCTGAGTTCTTCAATGTGCGCCTACATCTAACTACACAGACCTCTAGCACTTCACCTCCAACGAAACGCGGTTGCCATGGCCGGGATTCAACCACTGGCCGTGACTTGCATATCAGCAGTGAAGCACCATAACCACTAGACCACCCTGGATGGTCAACTTCCAACTACAGTCAAACCCAGTAATAAAGATCCCAGGTATGACGATTTGTTGGTTTTAACAACCATACTTCGGTGCACTGAAGCTGCGTCCACATGTAGCGTCCTCCATTTACAACGAACACTTCAGGCGCGGTTGTGGCAAATGTATGGTGCATAGTATGATGCGAAAAAATGCTAAAACAGACCTTCCAATGATGAGAGAGGCACGCTCTGGTTTACTTGCGACAAAGATATCAGATCAGTGATCACCGCACGCAAATTTCCGACGGTTCGAGCAAGGACGTTCACTTTCTAGGCGTTTATTCAGAAACAGAATGTCGGAGAGGAAAAAAAATTCAGATGGCAGCAGGGTCTTGGGATCAGCGTTCGCGTGGCAACCTTTTCAACCTTTTCTAATGTCGTTCCCTGCAGCTACGACTGCCTACAATAAACCAAACAATACCTTGAAACACAAGCAGCGATAGCTGCAGTAACTTTTTGACACATAAATATTCACTAGGACCCTCAACTCATCGGTGTTAAAATGTGCTGCGAAAAGCCTTCCATCTTTTCAACAATGGCTGAGACCGGTCGATCAATTTACGACTTTCGTGCGACTGTGGCGATGCCTTTATGAATAAACAAAGAATGACGGCGTGACTGCCAGTGATGAACATGTCATCATGATTCATCGGCAAAAACCTTATCAAAGGCACCTGCAGCTATATATCTGCTTACTTGCGCATGTGACGGTGCAGATTGATAATGGCACTAGTGCACCATAGTGCTGTTAGCAATTTTGTCACCACTCGGTTGTGCAAGACCGCTATAAAGTGGACAGTCACTTTGCATAAAGTAAAAGTAGCTTGGTGAATTTAGAGTGCTGCTGTCATCGAGAAGCATCGATACAATGACAGCAAGCATATACTGCTTGTGTTATTAGGCGACATACTAAGCATGCCATACATCGTAATGCAGGGCAGTCAAGCTACACGGAGCAGTGCCTGCTGCTTGCAAAATGCTCGTCTTCGCCATGTTGAAAGAACAGAGCAATGACCACCCTCGTGCTGTTAGGAAATGGGAGTCGCAGTATCCCACCGATGGCACCACTGCTAGGACTGGGGTCGCGTGGCCAGTGCGAACACATGCAAATGTGCTCGGAGCAGTCATGAGGATGAGTTGGAAGACAAAGAATACATTATACAGAGTATTTACATGTTGACGGTCTCAACTCTCAAAGAACAGGCAGGGTGCTCATCGGTGTGCCGGATTAAATGGGAACGATGGTGTCCAGCCCCACCTTGTCCTCCCCATGTGGTGACAAAAGTCCACCAATCCTGCACAACTTGCTGGATCATGATGATGGCCATGCCTGGGCCTGCAAGGGTGAATACCTGGTTGCTGACGTAAGAACGCGAGGTGGATCATTGACCACACTGGTGATCTTGTTGAGAAGTAGATGGCTCGCTGCCAGCTTCAGTCGCACCTGGATGGGGCAAGTCTGGTCTGACGAGATCAGCATGACGGCAGACAATATGCACCGCACGTGTGCGGGGCTTTATTGTTGATACCACTCAGTAATATTGCTTCGCGGTCATTGCACCCAGCGTAGGAATGTTGCTTTGCATAGAATGACGACATTCGTCGGTGGCCAGCAAGATAGCGGCACAATAGTGTAGTCTAGAAGGGTGAAGCAGGCACAAAGAAGATACGAACTCGCACAGAACTCTATACCACTATATATGCCAGCAATAGGCCTGGCAGTGACGGCCTGAGCCGGGCAGGCGACTAGACAGGGATGATTAGCTACATGCGACGGCATTACATGCAAACAATGTCAGTTCATCATAAAGGCAGTTTAATTGACTCATGCGCACACAGCAGGCGTCACTTCAAGACACGAAAAGGCTTAATAATTGTTACCAAAGCGGCTGTTAGCGCTTCAATAAAAATGCGAAGAGAGGAAGGAATTGGTCACTAAGTGCAGATTTTAAGGGCGAGTCCATATACCATGAACTACCGATATAACACTTTTCCTGCATTTTCGAGTGTGTTATAAACGGGTTAGAGTGAACAACCAATAAGCAGTAAACCAGGAAGTGTCCCATAAAACATCAGTTAAAAAATAATAAAAATTGCACTCTTTATGCCTTCTTAGGCTTAGCTACTTGATGGCTTGGGGTGGTTGCATCTGAAAAAAATTGAAGCCTTCAATTGATTCTCCCTTCCTTAGTCACATTTATAGCTTTCGACACTCGATTTTCCGGACTTTTACAACGCTAAATGCAGACTGGAAGACACTATCGATGCCGCCAATTTGATTGTTTTCGTACCCTTGAACCCACCGTGCCGCGGCTGCTGTACCCTCGAAACCACAAATGCCGCAATGCAGTCACGCCGATCCGTTGACATCCGTAGCTTTGTCAAACCTGTGGCCACAGCCGCATGGTGCTGTGCTTCTCTCCGACCCTGGAAAAAGCTACGCTGCAGTTAGCATGCTTACAGACTCGTGGAAGGCGGTTATGCAACAGACCTTCCAGAACCGTTTTTGCCACGCGAGCTTCATACTGGACGCCAAGACAGCTGTCTCAACCACAGTGTGAACAGTGTGAGCGATGAGCCTCCACCCACTGACGTTGCCGTCGACGATCTGCACACTGCCGTTGTTTCGGTTCCAGCCGGGATAACATTTGAGGGCTTTGACACAGATGAAAACCTCGAATTAACTAATGACGAAATCATTCGTCAAGTTACAGGAGGATTCCGACACCGAGATCGAAGAGGCAGCACCTACACAGCCAAAGAGCTCGAGATTGACGCGAGCACTGACACTGTCATCGGTGTACAGTGACAGCAGGACATTAGCTCAAATTAAGGCAGGCAGGCATCATCGCGGGCAAGTGGAATGTCGTTCAAACAAAAATAACTTTTTTTTTTGGTGCGCCTAGTGTTTACAAATGTGGTAGTGCCGGCCACATGGAATTTTTTGCTTCTTTCGTTTTTTTTTAATATAACAACTGTTTTCAGAGCACCTAAACTAAACGATGCATTTACTAATTGCAATGAAAATCTTGTACTCCTGCCTTGACTCTCTCCATCAGTGAAAAATACCCATTAAAGAGTGTGTTTATCTTGCATTCGTTTTTCTGGACTGCCCGATTTTTCCAGACTGGCGGCCTAGTTTTCCAGACTGCCTAATTTTCCGGACATTTTCGCCGTCCCTTTAGGTCCTAGAAGTCGGATGTTAACTGCAAGCTAAATAAATGCCCCCATCCCCGAAGGGAATCGTTAATAAATGCGAATGCATTTCGTGCGCCGAGAGGGTACCATTGCTGTCAGACATTTGCTTTTACCTACTTATGCAATGGCCTTGAGAGGTGCCCAGCCAGCGAATGGTCGAGAGTGAGCAGCGAGCGGACGAGTAAGCAAGGCGTCAGCGTTCTTGGCTCAGGTGTTGGCATTTCACAGCAGCGTCTTGAGCACACATTTTTCGGATGTTCTTAGGCACCCAGCCAGCGAACCGTCATTAGTGAGGCACAAGCGGACGGGAGATTGGGGCGAACGGAGGAGAAAGAGCAAACGACCAGAAAAGGAGCGGCGAAGCACTGCACCCACACTCTCCTGCACTCTCTCGCATCACATGCTCAGGTTGCTAGGGGCGAGGATATGCACGTGCCTGCAGATGTTGCTATGGTAGAGGGAGTGAGAGCAGAGAGATAACACCTGCCAGCGGCACAGACAATGCTGGATGCCTAAGAAATGCATTGCATTTAAAATCTGAAGGTACTGTGCATCTTCAAGGTTATCTACAAGTGGTAGAGTAGAACAAGCAGGAAAAGCGATCAAGTAATGACATGTCACAAAACTAAAATGCATTTTGTTAATGAAGAATACTATGAAAGAAACAACAAAGTAAAAGATAACTTAGTAATTCATTACTCCTATACGTGCTAACGGGTTTGACATCAAGAACAGGATAAAAACAAAATGTTGACTCACATCATCCGAGAAGTACTGGTCGATGATCTCATAGGCCAGCTTGTATATGTCTTCATTTTCATGGTTCTGAAGGGCCTCAATCTTGTCGAGGCCACCACACTCCTCAATGCTGCTGGCGACAGCGTAGAACTGGGTGCCGGCGATCTTGAGGATGTTGTTGAGACCGTCTAGAACAACCTGCACCACCTGCGGATCTCGCACAGTCAGCAGGTTACACAGAGGTGCCACAACTCCTTGCTCCACTAAGTAGGACACCTGGACCTTGGTGCCACTAATGGTCAAGTTGGAGATGGCCCAAGCTGCTTCCTTCTGCGTCTGGAACTCTCCCTGAACAGAATGATAAATAAAAAGCTCCGATTCAAACTTCACGCATAAGGTATGCCATTTCGCTGCAAGAAATATTCTGGAGAAAGACTTGTTGGGCTTGCTGGTGTGTGCTCATCGTTGTTCAAGTACACTAATGCAGTAGAACTTCAATCATAACATCGCCTAGTTTTGTGACGACCCGCATTTTACAATGAATCGGTTTTCCAGAAAAATACGCATAGAAATAATGCATTAGGAACCTTGGTTATACAATGAAATTTTATGCCGACCCCACATCTTATGAGGGATCTCCGATTTTGTCTGAGAGAAAAAAAACAACAAACCTTAATTTCACAAATTCCTCAATATAACGAAGTTTTTCTATTCCACACCATTACTCCATAGAAGCACATGTACCGTATTTACTTGCATAATGAACCCACTCGCATAATGAACCCCCACCTCCACCTTGGCCCTTGAAAAAAGAAAAAAAATTTAATGTATCTGTTAATTTGATTTCAACATGATAGCTAGTGCCGTTGATGATTGAAACAACATTGAATTAAGCCATTATATCAAAAATAACAACACAATCAAAGTCAAATTTTAGTTTGAGTCTGAGTGACAGCACTTCGTGGCCTTTTGCCATTTAACTACACAAGATTAGTGTCGAAATAAGAAGAAACGTCACCACTGTGCAGCTGCTTGTATCGCTATTTATTAAGGGAAGGGTGCACGCAATACTTTTCAATTTTTAAAAAAATTTGGGGAGATTCAAAGTAGGAGGGGTGGTCGACCTATATTCCAGTTTATGATATATTTTTAGTTTTTCGATTATGAGATGCCCGAATTTTACGACGGTTTGGCACGGTCCCCTGAGAGTCATATGATCAGGGTTCCACTGTACAGAGTAACGGAGACATACAACACAGGCACTTTTTCGCACCGGTGTTGTAGGTCTATATGTTTATAGCTGTGTTTAGGCACTCCACTATGAAAATCGCTGCAAGAAACTGATTACTAGAGCACATGTAATTCGTAGCATGATGTCAGATTTCAAACTATATTTTCATTCAAACTGTTATGCACAATGAAGGAGCTTGTCCAGCTGAGCCTTTGACTCTCTTAGAATGCAATGTGGTAAATATTTATCCAATAGAAAGATAGAAGCCCATATGGCACTATTATAATCATTTTCTTGGTCACCTGATGCAGTAACTGAAAGACTGTGTAGCCACCAGTGGCTTAGGAGGCCTGAATTACTCTTCACTGACGCAAGACATTTGACATGCTAGGGCAACAAGGTGAATGAGAAATGCTATATAAATAATCATGACCACGACCTTTTATATGGAGGAGAAACAAAAATGCGTACCTTACTGAGATGATGGATAATCATTGGAATCAAACCAGGCATCAATCACAGCTTGGACCTGCTGGTTGTTACCAGCAGTGATGTTTGACAGGAACCACACCGCCTCCTGAAAGGAAATAGAGGGAGCATAAATTAAGGGGTGCTGACACACAAACTTTCGTAGCTGAGATAGTCTGCGAAATCCCAGTGAACATGCGTATATCATTTATAAAATATCAACAGCAAATATAGCTTCGAAAGAATTTTACATGAAATTTTGAATATGCATTTTGATGATACTGACATCATCAAAAGTGACCTCACGCTCCATGTCGCCAAGCTGCAGTCAAGAAAACAAGTTATGATGACGTCATAGCCACATTTGTCCCAGCAGTCTTGGTGGCTGCAGCATACGCGCTGAAAGTTTCGTGTTTGGCGACACATATGTGTGTGTTCCCCCTCCCCCCCTCGAAAGGACTTCTTGATGCGGACCAGGTGGAGTGTGTCACAGTTGAGTACCGCACCAGCCAGTGGGTAGTTGCACCTAGCAGCTTGTCGTTTTTGGAGCTCACTAAAAGCGCAACTGTTGGTAATGAAGAGCCTCTAATTATTTATCTGTCGCACACTGCAGCAAACGATGTACCAGGCTCCAGAAACAAATTGTAGAAAAAAAAAAACGCGAGGCTAACTTTTTTTCATTATCCTTTTGGGGGGACACGGGTCTTTCAGATGAAAAATATTGCGAAAAAAAGATCGATATTTTGAAAGTGGCATATTCATAAGATAAAAGCACTGCCACGTGTCCTCACAAAGTTTGCCGCAGCATGGATAAATATTTAGGCAGCAATACCAATTTATGTAAGCACCTTGAGCTATATTTTCAGCGAAAGAAGCGATAGCTTGCGCTGAACCGCGCAAGCTATCGCGGCCATATCGATAATGTCGGAAAAAACTATTTTTCTTCTTGAAGTTCCCACCAAAATTTCATTCGTACGCCTGTTTACTGTGTAGCAATTAATACCGCGTAGAAAAAATGTTTCAGCGCGTGACTCCATTGGCCTATTCTGTACAAGTGACTAAATGCTGTCCTGTGATTGGTACAGCTGCTTGGTGTCGTCTGCTGCCGCACGTCGACGCGCTTGAGAAGCATAGTGCGACACCACTCTGGAAATCGCTTGCGTGCAACGATGTACGAATATAAACTTGGCAAGAAAAGAAAGCGAGCGCGTTACAACTTCAATAGGGCCCGGTCCTGCCGAAGAACTCAGCTACAACTACTTGCCGGCAACCTCAAGCGAAGGCCGCGGCAACTCCGAGGTGAAAAGCAGCGAGCTAAGCCTAACGGGTGTCGCCTGCCGATGGTGATCGGAGAAGCGCCGTTTGTCACGACACAAGGATTATTCCGCAAGCAGAATTGCTTCAACAGCAGAAAGAAGCAGAGGATAAACTTCAAGAGCTTGCACAAACATCGGCAACGAAAAGGAAATTGCACATGTCTGCAAGTGTCAACGACGGTGCGGACGGACCGGCGATGGTGGAGTCGCGCTTTTTATTGTCCGTGAAGAAGCGATGAGCGCTTTTTTTCTTGCGCATGAAGTGCACTGTGTGGCGGCTCCACGACTTTGGACACAGACAAGCGAGATTGCGGCATTGCTGTCAAGCTTCTCAAAATTTGCTGAGAAGTGCGGCGATGTTTTTTCCAAGTAGAGCTCCCCACGCACAAAAGACGGCATGACAGCGAGTCTTTTCGTCGTGAACCTTCTGTCCACTCGTGAAATGATGAGCACAGAGAATCTTCGGACGGCAATGAATGATATTTTCGCTGCAATTAATATATCGCACCGCAGCCTTCATACTAAAACGTGGCAGAACTATCTGAAGAAGCTGGCACCCGCGGCCTCGATAGCGGCACAATAACCGATGATGAATGCGCAGCATCTGTGAAAACGCTACACATTAGCTATATATCGGTAATTCCGCCAATATCACAATATCCTACGATGGCACGTGGATGCGCGCGGCCATTCGTCGCACATAAGAGTCAGCACCATCATCGAACTGTTTCAGTAGTTGTGTTCAACTATGTTGTGTCTGGCAACTTACGTGCGGGTTGTGCACGCGGCCTGAAGCTGGACAACACAGGATTATGTAAATGAGAAGGCAAACCATCTGAGCCAAAAAAAAGTCAGTGAAATGGAAGTTGAAGCAGTGCTAATAATTTTTCAGAGGTCACTTCAAGTGCACCAACTGAGGTACACCGCAGCCTTCTCGGTGATAGTCTATCATTTCTAGCGCTCAAGCAAGCACTAGTATATAGATTTGTGCCAATTGAAAAAGAATATTGCATTATTCACGCTCTAAAAAGAATGGGCACGGCCCTGCGTGCACATTGCGAAACACAAGGGCTCGGCTTCAGAAGCTTCAGGAGGCAAAGCCAAATTGACCAGCGACTTCATAACCAAACTTAGTTCGTATTATGGATGGGCATAGAAGTAAAATAAAGGGAATGTAAAGGACATGCGGAAAGCTGTCACGGCAACATATCGCCGCGTAACGTCTAATGACAAGGTTTCTGACCACAGTCTTTGCCCGTCAGGTCCCAGTCTTGGTGCCGTCAGAATGCTGCTTAAGCAAAAAATGAGCCTTATTCCAAAGCACCGATATAATTTGCCTTTGCATGTTTGAAAAGCCCTTTGCCCAGTGTATGAGTGCTTTTCAGAAGAAAAACTGCTTTAAAGGTGCCAGCGCAGCATGACACTAAGCAGTAACGAATGCTTACATTCAATGATTTTGGCATTAGCTTCAAAAGAACAGCATGCCTCGCTTTTTGCTGTCGAAGCTGCTGTGGCTGAGGCAGTGATAAACTTTAATTCAGGGAATGCGAAAACTTCCTCAGGCATACTACAGGGGCTTCATTTGAGTTCGGGCCTACCAAACAGCCAGAGAATGTATGAGAAAGACAACCAGAATGCAGCAGCATCAGTGCACAAGCGTGCATTTGCAGAAAATCGACAACAAACTTTGAAGAAGAGTCTCTCTGGTAGCTTGCACCAGAGAGACTACATCTCTGGTGGCTACTGATCATTTAGCTAAGTGAATGTGCCATTATTTCTGGTTAGATCTGAATATGGGCCTTGTTTGTTTGAGTTTATTTTCTCAAGAGTTCTGGACGCTTTGCAACCATTAAGGAGCGATTTTTCAGTAACCAGAGCACCTAGAATTGTCATTCTTGTTGCAGCGCGTAGTCAAATAAATGGTTTTCAGAAGGGTAGGAGCACATTTTTGCATTTCTGTGTCAGTGTCTCTTTATTGTTCATTTATTCAAACAAATGATTAGCAGCATGTTCAGCAGTAAGATTTCATGAGCTGTATAATTGCTAATAGATGTCGTAGCAAAAAAGTATTCCTACCATTGTGAAGCTCATGTTTCTTAGTATCAAACCATGTTTATAAACCAAGATTTTGATAAGTAGTTATAGAACTATAGTTCCAAGACACTACGTCAATTAATTATAAATTAACAGAGCAGCTAATTGACACATGTAAAACAAGCTGCATATTTGCCATGTGCAAAAAAAAAACTGGATAATACTAAATAATTTCATTAACTTTGGTAAAGAAAATCACAATTTACAAAACGGACCCACTTCCCTTTAAGCCGCGAACAGCCGAGCCTACATATAGTTGAAGCAATACTTCTTTGCAGACTAGTAGTTGGTTCATGCTTGGTTAATACAGTTGGTAGTCTGCGCCCTTTCCTGTCTTGCTTCTCATTTTCTTTTAGCTTGCGCAGCAAGCAGTGTTTTCTACATATAATCTAAAAACAACGAGCAGCAAAAAGCCCGCTGAACGGAAAGTATTTAACATTAGAGCACCAGCATTAAAATCCCCACCGTTTCTCAATTTAATTACCTTTAATATTTAAAAGGAGACACTGGCCTTGACAAGTTGTGTAAGGCTAGTCAGGTTGCTAAAAAAATGTGAAGCGGAGAAATTTCTGCAGGAATTTCTAAAAGAAATCTTCAACAATAGATTATATTTCAGCGTCTACCAAGCTGACATATTTCAAGATTCCCGATTCAAAGTGATCTTGCTAAAATTACCCGAGTTGCACAATTAATTTATGTCAAGACTGGCTGGCCTCATCTTGCATGATGACATCACTCTCTAGTATGCACGTTAAGAAATAAAACTGATAATCTAATTAGACTAGTACAGAGTACAGGTAAACTTCATAAGAAAGTCACTGAAATTGGCAATTTATATAGTTATATCAAAACTTCGTTAACTGAACTCAGTCATTCCATGCTAGGTAGGATGCATTCTTCTATTGAAAATGCTCAAGAATACTCTACTAATGTGGCAGTCGTTACGGGAAAAAAAAAAAAGACAATTTTGTAGACTGTCAGTTCCTGCAACCACACTTTGATGCCGCATTGTGCCACTGCACCTATTCTGCTGCCGTCGCTTGTTATAAAAATGTAGGGTGTTGCCTACAGTAGCGCAATGCTGATGCTATCATGTTACCCAGCTGAATTATTTTCACTCTACTCTACTCAGTCCAACAAACATACACTGAACTCTCATTAAACGAAACTCGGTTAGACGGAAAAGTCGCATAAACGAAACTATCTAGGCACATTTGGTTCGTCTCCTATTTAATGATAAAAGTTTCGGATAATCAGATCATTTTTTTTTCGCTTAAATCGGTTAAATGAAACTAAAACAGGCAAAAATCCATTAACGGCGGAAGTGCCCACGACAGTCTTGCAACCATCGAACACAGACCAAAGCTAGCCTAACCAAGCCAATGCAGCGATAGATGTCTCGTCGTGAACTTCAGATGGAACAAAAAAAAAAAAACGGCAACACAATGCACTTTCGCTCGCAAAGAAAGTAAAAATTATTCAAGAACTTCACCGCAACAACCTTTCGAAGACGGATATTGCGAAAAAGTTCATATTCCCAAGTCCACGCTGTCGAGGATACTCAAAAAACAAAGGGAAGATTGAAGAAGCTGTAAAGCTTGGAACTTCGCTACGGACAGAATACGGATGAGAATGACGGCATACAAAGAAATCGAAGATGTTATTTCCTATGGTTCAAGCGAGCACACAGTGCGAACTT